GGTTATTGAGAGTTGTTATATCTTCTTGATTCAGTTTTGGTAATTTGTACCTTTCTAGGAATCCATCCATTTCGTCTGTGGCTTCTATTCTGTGAGCTTAAGCATCTTTTTCTTTGTTTCCAGATTTAAAGAAACTTCATCTTGTTTCTCCATAATCAATTTAAAGATTAAGATGGAGTTTTAAAAATTATGTCTGAGATATAAATATATATGAGTTTCTTAAAATTTTATAGAAATGTATTTTAAATGATAATTAACAAAGTTTTGTCTCCTACCAAGTGACTAATTTTTTTCTATTTGTTACAATGAATTAAATTGTTATATTTATAGATTACCTAACCACTTTTTGCACATTGATTGCTAGTACAGTATATCTGCTATTATAGTTACACATATGTTGATATGTATATTTTTCTTGGTAATATGTCAACATCAAAAGAATAATTTGATAATATGACTTGGAGTGCTTTCCATTGTTTGGCTTGAAAATTTCTTTGTTGAATGTTTGAAAGAATTTTCTTTTATTTATCTTGCAGTCATTTTTGGAGGAAAAATTAATAGTATCATAGCATTTTCCTTTTTATGCGTAAATGTGTATTTGAAATTTTGCTTTCTTTGAATTATTTAGGAATTTGTATTTTTAATGGATATTAAAGTTGTCAATTTACATATAATTTACAGATCATATAATATTTTAGACATCTACACACTGTTGTAGCATCTCAGAAAAATTCATTTTTAAAAACTATTTTATTTGCTTACATTTTCAACTCTAACTTACTATTTTCTTCTTTAGCATTCTACTTCATTTTGTCTCCATTCATAATTCATTTTTCTTTCCTTAAATAATAATTGTTAAGTTTTCCAATTTTCCATGAAATTACCTTTTTCCTAAATTTTATTTTATTTTATTTATTTATTTATTTATTTGTGTAACCGGGGACTGAACGCAGGCCTTTGCGCTTGCCAGGGAAGTGCTTATTCCACTGAGCCATCTTCCCGGCCCCTCTAACTTTTAAATAAAATACTCATTTTTATTTGTGCCTGTTTAAAAATAAAAATATCTTTAAAATTCACTGTTTGATGATTTCGCATTTTTAGTAAGGCAATGGCCAATCATGTTTAACAAAGTAAGAGGATTGTGAAGCTGTCTTTTTCAATCAAAAATCCATTTAAGTTGACTTCAACGTCAGGGAAAATAATTATTTAAATGTCAAATTTCATTGAGTTAGAAAACTGTTCAGAACACAAGTCTCTTTACCAGTGGAGAGAAATAAAACAGTACTATTTATCAATTGTATCCACAACATCGCTCATCTTTGTGAATGTTTATCTACATTCATTATGAACCAGTCTTTAGTTCTAGGTCTTCAGAGAAAACTGGAGAAATCAGAGAACAGAAGTGCATCACCCAAAGCCCCACACTCTCTGGACTCTTACCTACACACCGGGGTTCTCCTCCATCCCACTGGGCATTTCCTTGGCAGGTAAGTTTAGCACTTCCTTCTAGTCTGTACCCTTCATCACAGGTAACCAAGCAAGTGGTCCTATAGGACATGTCCCTGGTGGAACAGCTTATGCGGCCATGTTTGGGCTGGCGGAGATGGGGACATGTTCTCACTACATAAAATGCAAACAGTTAGGTCATAGTTTACTAAATAAGGATACAAATAATAATTTAAGTTTAATAATATCATTTTACAAGCAAAAAGCTTTCTATTCTTAAAATTGGAAAAAATAAATAACTCACCATAATTTTGTAGCATTGTGAGGTAATCAAATGCCTTTGTTTTATCAAAATACATTGCTGGAACAGTATCACTGTGTTCAGTTCTCTGTCCTTAGGTGAGAAACTTAGACTGTCTATGGGATCTGTGCCTAACGATACAATGGTGGCTGTACAGTGGGGTGGCTGACAATGTATCCATCAGGATATATTCCAACAAAAGGAAGACGTATTTTCCAGGAGTGGGGTTTCAGGTTTAGGTCCACCTCAGTTCTCAAAGCTCAGATCCCTGTCCTGAACCTTGTAATGATACCAGGCTCTGTAAATCTGTCCAAGTTCTGCCATAGGAAATTCTAATATTCTAGTGGCTGTCCACAATTTTGACTCTTTTAGCTTTTTCTCCTCTTTTCACACACTTGCTACAAATTCTAGCTCATGATGCCCATCTTGATTTGTGTACTAACACTGGTTTGTTTGCTTGTTTGCTGCTGAGGCAGAGACTGTGAGTTGTTCTCCTAAAGCTATTTTTTTCAGATTTGTTTTTAATTTCTTGCATAGTTATGCACCAGCTATAAAATTAGGATTCTCTAGCTCCATCACAATTAATGAGAATAAGTGAGATAAGAGCTGCACTGTGTGAACTTCTTGGAACATTTTATAAAGGCAAATATCTCCACTGAGAGAGCACCAATTTGTCTTTCCATTTATTTCCTTCTCTCCAAATATAGCACCTCAGCATACAATAGCATATTTATAGAAAGTTGTAGGAAAAAAATCATGCATTAAAACAGTTGAGTAGATAAATAAAAGAACTCTCAGGCTCTGATGACTGTGGAGGTATCACTCTACCTTTACATTAGAGCTGCTTTCAACTGACTCGATCATTCCTATACTGTCATCCTTTTAGGTGAGAAAATACAAAACCTTTAATCGGGTTACAGCGTTGTTATTTGGATCTTTGATATTAGTAGCATTACACAAATCCTAATTCTTTCAATACAGTTTCCATTCACTTTTCCTTTGTCAATTTTCTAGGAAAAAAATCTCTTTCCTTTTTTTCAGGGCCCAGTGTGTACTCCATAGCGGTGGGGCATAGGAGCTAGGATTCCATCCCTCAGATCTGGGTAATGAGCATATATAGCTAGTGAGTTGGTTCCTTTCCTGACCCTCTACAGATCCACCATGCAAGTTCACCTAGAAGGGCATCCACTAAGCATGGGATGCTGGAGATGTCACCATTCTTAAACCAGCTTCCACACCACCATCAGGGGCAACATTCCCCAGACTGGCTGTCTAGAGAAATCTCTGTTTTCTAGTTCTTCCACCTCTGATCCTCTTACATCAAATGTACAGCAAAGAAATTTCAAGGAGGAACTTGGGCTGCTCCTGCCTAGCCCACCAAAATCCTTAACTCATCTCAGAGCTTCCTTCATTTGATTTCATCATGTCCTGTACCACCACTCATGAAATTTTGTTATGAAGCCTTAGCCTCTCAGCTCACCCCTCATCTAGCAGGTTTCTCCAATGCAGATGAGATCCACATCTCACTACAGACTCTGCATTTGCTCCCTGGAATACATGACAAGTATTCAGTCAATTTCCTCATGTTCTAAACCTCTTCTTTGAGTGTCTTCACTTTATCTTAATCAAAATCTTATTGTCTCTTATAGAGAAGGTCTGGAGGTCAGAGAGGTGTCTTCATCAAAGAAGAATGGTGAGTCAAAGAGAAGAGGGAGGGAAGAGGAAAAATGCAGAGGGTGGTGCAGGAATAAAAGGGGATATCAAAGAGTATGATGCTAAGCAAAACTATGGGAGGCCATTCTTTTGGAATGAGATGCTGCCCTACACCCTAAGAAATCACAACAAACACAACTGGGCTCATTCATGCTAAATGCCACATCATGAAACAGTTTTAAGGATTCCCAAACAGATAAGTTTTTCCTGGAAACAGAATCTCAGTCTATTTGAGTTGGTTAGCAAAGAATTCAACTGTGCTTTAATCATTACAAAAAAGTAATTTGAGGTAACTAACACTAACCAGTCTGTTTGTTTTTCTCCCAATTGTTCTGTTTCCTCATTTCTTCCTTATAAGACCATGCTGTTCTGACATTGTCTAGGAGAGCTTATTCTATTTTGCAGAATATGGGTTTCTTTGAACAATAATTGGAAACAAAAGCTAATTGTATCTATAATTAAATTGGTTGTAAGTTTGTCTTCTGACAGGGAGGAGGGGAATGTAGAGGGAGGGGAAAGTTTAAAAAAATGAAAAGGAAGGAATAGAAAATATGGAATTCATCCAGACCAGGGAAGATGTGCTCCTTCCATCAGATGGCTGTTACGAGTAGAGACTCAGAAGGAAGAGGAGTGGGTGCTTCCAGACTACATCGGTAGATGGGCACATGCATTCATTTGGATAGCTTATAGGTATTCTGCAGCCCTCAGGCATTGCACAAAGAATAAAAATACAAAAGAACAAGATTTAGTTTGCTCCAAGAGAGCACTGTACAGCAACAGGAGATGCCTGAAGACAGCATAGCACTGTCTAAACAACAACATGTTTGGAATTTCAGAATTTTATTGGGACTCTGGGTGAGGTATAGTACTATTTTTCCTATTGTTTTTGCATTTCTATTTGTAATTACCAGGCATATAGATGCATTTATTCATGATGAAAACTTCAAAATAACAAGGAAGCTGGGGCAAAATATTCAAGCATACACACAATTTAAATCATGGATAAAACTGATTCTCTGGGAACCCAGTCACATTATGTTACTTGACAGAACATAAATACTGAGAACATTAAACATACATTTAGGATTGATTAGTCCATAGAGAGAATGCAAGAATTAGATTAGAGGTTAAAACATAAGCCCTAGCCTCCTCTACCCAGAGAACAATTTGGACGAAAGCCAACTGCTAATAAAAAATGAATTGAAATATTTTGCTTTCCTAAGTTTTACTTTTATTGAATGTGTCCGTCATGCATGATATGTCATGGGCCAGGTAGGCTTAAAAGATGAGCAAGACAAACTCTATGGTTAAGAATGTACCAAATTTATAGAAACATATTAAACAACTGCTTTTAGCTTCAATACTTTTCTTAAAAAATCACTATAGCTTTTCAACTGGTTATAAAATGGATTTGCACCATCTCAGGAGAACTGAGAATAAATTAGAGCTGATATGTTAGACCAATGCAAATAATACTGCTTCTCAAATGTTTATTTTAATAAACTCTCATTGCTCCTTAGGGAAAACAAAGACTATGCAATAATCCCTATTGCTTTTATTAAACATTTTTTATTCTTTCACTCAGGAATGACCACTTATTACTATTTTAACAGGACTCCATTTATGTATGAAATTCAATTTAAAACTTTCTAATTTTAATAAGCTGAAAGATTATACAATAAACATCCCTTAATTTGGATTTGTCAAAGCTCTACCTAGATATATATTTATTATTTTGAATAAAATAGCAGTTTATCCTGATTGGGTTACTACACAATGAATGCATGAAGTTAATTATCACAATGTAACTCATTGATATCTATAATTATTATGTGTCAATTAGATATTTATAATTATTATATGTCAATTAAGAAGTTTGGAAAATAATATTTAAAACAAATATAAGAATGTGGTGTTCTAAGAAAACAATCTACTATACGTAGGCAATAAAAGAAACTGAACCTGCAGTGGTTCTTATCTTAAATATAAGTAAGACTTTTTTCTAGACACATAATTGCTGTCAATCTCCAAATTGTGATAATGCCTAATACTGAAAAAAAAGAAAGAAAATCTTATAGTAAATTTAGAATTCCTATATTTTTAATTTTTCTCAGGAAAATAAAGAATCACAAATTTAAATTTTTTATGTTGTGCTTTTGCTAATTATCGTTAAGAAATTACAAGGGATTTGCCAGTTTAAAAAGAAATATATAAGTCAGACGTAATTAAAAATGATTATAAGTGCTTTATGAAGAGTACCTGGGAGGAATAAGAATCTGTTACTTCTCAAGAGAATGGAAATATTAATGTGACATGAAATGTGCAAAGGTTTTACATTTTCAGTGTGTTTCATTTATGAATCAACCTTAGGAAGGCTTTCACCTCCAAAATATGACATAATACATAAAAGTATTCTCTGTTCTTATAATTGATTTAAATTAGACCTGTAAAACTACTACTTTTTCCATACTAGTCTTCTGGAAATAGAGGTGAGACTTAGCCAATTACCATATTTCTCTGAATCCCACATGCTCCCATCGTAAGAAACACCATTATTTCAAAGGTCACTGCTATGGATATAGTAATATTAATGAAATGATTTTTTTAAAAATTCCAATTTTAGGGATATTAAAATGTGTATATGCGTATGTGGGGGGGGGTTGATTTGATGACCAACAGAGGCCTCACAGGCTGAAAACCTTCCTTTCTTGTGCTACTTGGGTAAAACTATAGGATATTGGCTGTGTGACAGTTGTAAGAAGCAGGAAAATAGCTGCCAGAGATGGCTGCTCTATGTGTTGCTTCTCTGTACAGTATTCGATTTTGGAACTTCTGGCCCTGCCTCTGGCACTGCCCATTTCCTTCTGGCCTCTCTAGGCTCCTGAGGAGTTCACCATAACACCTTCTCCACTTTCTGTTGCACCCAAGTGAAGGCTGGAGATGTGCCAGCTGGACACCTGTTCATCTTGCAGGGTACTGGCGTGTTATCAAAGTCCTGCAGTAACGGTTGGCATCTAGAGTCTACCCTAACTATCCCCATGTCTTTGGCACTGCATCTCAGCTCTTGAAATTTGAGATTTGAATGACCTTCCCATTTAGTTCCTAGGCAGGCCTTTCTTTTGCTTGTTCAGCACAAGAATATAAAAGGTGTGGTTTATGATGATGTGGTCAATTGAACTTAGCAGTTCTGTCTTCAAATTTCCTATAACTTCTGTGGTCTGTGGTTTATGAAACAAAAAAAAAAAAGAAATGAGGAACTGACCAGTCCATTAGAATTTAAATCAAGGAACAGTAAGCAACATGAGTTGGCAGTTTGCATACCTCTGCAAGAGCTCTCTGAACTGGACCACAAACCACTGGGTAGACACAGGAGGATGCTGCTTCCCACGAGGTCAAATCCAGGGTGACATCGGACCCCACAGGCAGCATTGAAGTGGTTGTTGCAAGTATTCTGGATGAAGTAACCATTTTCAGGAGGCTTCAGAGCAGGGCAATGGACAGCTAACATTTATAAAAATAAATTTAAAAAGCAAGGTCAGGCTTTGTCTCTGGAATATTTCCTTTCTTTTCTTTGTTTAATGGGATATGCGCATAGACTTCTCAATTTCCCATGCTTTTTTCCCATAATTTTACTGAGAAACAAATAGCAATGAGACAGTTTCAAATCAAATTAGTAAGAGAGTTTCAATAATTAACACATTACGTATTGTCTTCCTAGTGGTTATTTGTTGTACAAGATGCAGACATGATATCCTATTTATAAGCACTATTAGAACAAATCCTTCTATTCATTAAGACAAAGTAGCTTTATATCTAGCCTAACTATATTGAATACACAGATACAAAATGGTCATTCATCTGTATTCCCCTTTTTTTGGTTTAGTTCCATCATTTAAATATTACAGGTGTGTGAACTCAGCAAAATATTCCAAAATAGTCCAGTAGTCCATAATAGTATTGGGTCTTCCACTTGACTGGCAATGCCAGAAGTTGTTGACCTGAGTCCTCCCACGCTTTTTTATTTAACAGCATTTGAGTTATTAAGAGAATGTTAGGAAGAACAACTTTCACACTTGACTCCTGTTAGGTATTTATTTCAGGTTAAATTTTAAAGACAGACTAAATTTTTTTTTTCATTTCCTTCCCTGTGATTTTCTTTCTCTTTTTCCATAATTTTATTGACAGACAAATAGCAAATGAGACAGTTTTAAATCAAATTGGTAGGACGGTTTTGGTAATTAACACATTGCATACTCTCTTCCTAGTGGTTATTTGCTGTACAAGATGCGGACATGATATCCTATTTACAAACACTATTAGAACAAATCCCTCTATTCATTAAGAGAATGTACCTATATATCTATCCTAACCATTTTGAATCACAGATACAAAATGGACATTCATTTATGTATCCCCTTTTTATTTAGTTCCATCATTTGAATATTATGGGTGTGTTAACTCAGCAAAAATACTCTAAAAGAGCCCAGTAATCCCAGACTAAATATTTTTAAACTTTAATTTGTTTTTGCTATCTACATAGATACAAGATTTTCAGATTTACTGGGGAGGTGCTGCAAGGGATCAAACTCAGGGCCTCACACACGCTAAACACTAAGTTACCTCCAAGCCGTAGTTACTATCATTATGCCACTAGATATTTTCCCTCCTAATAAAGATGGTATGAATCAAAGGACAAATAATATTACTATTTCAGTTGCAGCGGTGGGAGCCTCACCTTCACACGTCTGGCCCGACGCCCGGTATCCCTCCCTGCAGACGCAGTCTTCGGGGGATGTGCTTCCGGGTGGGGAGGTGTGGTTTGCATCAGGACAGGGGATGCACGTGCTGATACCTCCCGGAGATCCTTCAGGCTTATATGTCCCCGATGGGCAAGCTGCGGGCAGACAGCCAGGGAGACATGCTATGTGGAACATCAATCAAGAGGTAACAAAGTATGCGAAACGAACTAGGGTGAGGAAAGCTGAACGATAACTTTCTATGGAAATAATAGGATGAGCAGTATGAGCAAGAATAGAATTTGGTTTTAAAGAGCGATGTAGTTTGTTATATCTAGGTTATGAAGGTCTCCTGTGTCTGTTGCATAGTTTCCAACACAACACAACACAACACAACACAGCACGGCACAGCACAGCATAACATACTTGGGCAGTTCTGTGAGAAAATTCCAAATGGCAACATATATTAAGGGACTAGAAAGAATCCATGATCCTCAACAGATTAAAAACCAATGTTGTTATACATGATACATGTCACACTGCATCGCCCCATCTTGTGTAGCCCTGCTTCCACCATCCTGACACAAATGCAAGCACAAACACACACACACATGCGCACGCTGCCCCGCAGAGGAGGGCGGAGCCGGGGTGGATGTGCAAACAGCACTTTGACCCCTTGTTTCTGTTCAAAGCACTCAGTAGAGGATGAGGAGAAAGTACAAGCCTAAGGGAGCTGTTCCAAAGAGTGGGACCTATGCCTTTAGAAGAAAAAAGAAACAAAGACCCTGAACTTTTCAGTCTCCTGGGAAAAAAGATTAAAAGCAAAATCTAATTGACCTTGCTTTAAATCTTCCCTCCACACTGACACTGTGTCTTTGAATTTGTAACTTCGTCCCTCTGGGGCTACACATCTATGGAATAACTCAGAAATAAGAAATCTAATTATAAAGAAAGAAACAAAAGGGGCTTGCTGTACTCAGTTATGCCAATTAAATGTGCCATAGTCCCAGGATGCATTCATCTATTCATAAAGTAGCAACCAAGGAATGTCCACCTATGTGGTGATATTCTATATAAATTGTTTCATTTAATCCTTATGTGTTAATATGAGTATTAAAAGTTATTAATACTAGAGATCTATGCACTAATATTGTTAGTATTGTACCCAGTGTAAGATGAGAAAAAAGATGCTTAGAGCTACCACTTAAATAAAGGAATTCAGTTAGAAAGTGACAGAGCTATATTTTTAAAAAAGAATTAAATATCTATATAGCATTCATTAAGTCCCAAGGATTGTTCTATGTATCTTATAAACATTATCTCTTAAAAATCCTTAAAAACCTATGAAGGACCTAATAGTATTAATCTTTTAAAGTAAGTAGTAGCATTAGTCTCACTTTGTAGATGAAGAAAACTGAAGTTCTAAATAATTTTCTGAAGATGCACAGTAAGTAGGCATCAGAAAGTATTTGAACACAGAAAGCTTTGGATCTAGGGGCCTTGCTTTTTGCCATTACGTGTGTGTGTCTCAATTCCAAGTCTCTTGGGTGCTGAAGCTAGACCAGTATAACATACTAGCAGTATAAAAAAGAATATTGAGAGATAAGATTCATGATGTAATTATTGGAAAAAATAACCATGCTTCTAAAGTTCTTGCTTGTAATTTAAAACAAAAGATCTCATAGCTCTATAACTTACAGTAGAAAATTTGAGATCTGAATAAATTTGAAACTTTTAAAATGAGAAGAATATTTTAAAAAGAGTAATAATGATGGGTGACTACTACAGCTCATATCTAGTTCCCCCCAAAAGGCCTCACATAGTCTGGAGTGGGGCTTTCCCAGGGTGGCTGGGTCTACAGTGCATAATGCTGGAATTCATTCATGGTGCACTGCTAGGATCAAGGCCGCTAGGATTAAAGGTGGTACCATATCCACCCTAAGCAGCTTGGATAGGATACACAGGATAGAAAGCTGCGATCACCCCTCACTTGCCTTGCTGCCTTCTGCCCACCATGAACGGCTTCTCCTCTGTGATGCCTGTCTGCCATACCTCCCTGCCTTGGAGCAAGGCAGTTATGGACTGAAACCTCTACAAACTGTGAGCTAAATGAACTTTTCATCCTTTAAGCATCAGGTATTTTATCTCAGCAACAAGAAAAATAACTAAGACAGTTATTTATGAAGAATAATTCAGCATAATGAATGGAAATATTCCTTTGAAGTATTTTTACATTAGTCAATATCAGGTTATTGCTGAATTATTCATATTATTAAATATGTCTTCCTATAAATATTTCAGTATTTCATTAGAATTCTCAAAAAGCTGCAAAGCCACACAGTCTCCTTTAAGTAGAAACCAGCAGCAGCTATAGAAGAAAGTGATTGAGATAAATACAAATATTGAAAAGAAAATTTTAATTATTACTGAAATATTAAAAATGTTATTGGGCAATAAAAATAAATCCTTGGGGCTGGGGAGATGGCTCACTGGAATAAACACTTCCTTGGCAAGCACAAAGGCCTAAGTTCAATTTCCAGTTCCGCCAATACATACATACATACACACATACAAACATACATACATACACACATACATACATACACACATACATACATACATAAATCCAGTTCCAGAACATTAGCACTAAGTGCAATGCTACAGTAAATAAGTTATTCTATTCTTATTGATCATTTACATTTCTACTCTAGGAAATTTCCACTTCTTATTCTTTGTCTATTTTCCTAGGATTCAAATAAATCAATAAATCAATAAATCCAGTTCCAGAACATTAGTACTAAGGAGAGTGCTAGCAAGAGTAATAGTTCTGATACAAATGCAAGACTATGCACTAAAGCTTTAGTACAAAAATATTTACCAAGTTTTGGGCAAAATTAATGGAAAGGCACACTTGGAATAAAGGAAAATGTTACAAACCCAGGGAAAGACAAACAAAATAGTTATAAGTGGGGAAATCAGGCTGATTCTTTATTTCTCCTCTGTGAAAAAGCAAAAACTAGGGCAAAATAATGTGGAATAGATACATAGCAATGCAATAAAAATACAATGTATCCAAGCTAATTGAAATGTTGGACAAGATATTTGTATGCATTAAGAAATAAAACAACTAAAGAATGCACATAATTTTAGGAAAAAAAAGATTTATTTAATTTAGTGAGAAAGAAATCAAAACAAAGAACACAGGAAGGAGAACAATGGTCTTTAATAAAGTCCTAGATAGTGAGAAACTTGTGGGATATATAGTGCATTTTAAGTATGTTGTTAAAATAATTACAAAGATAAAAACAGACATAAAATAAAGTGTTTGTGGACTGGGGAGATAGCTCAGTAGATAAGTGCTTGTCTGGCAAGTGTAGGGTTCTGAGTTCAATCCCTGGTGCTGTAAATAAATAAATAAATAAATAAAGTGTTTTTACAAAAATGCATGCTCAAAGGAAGAAAATAATCTTTTATACTTTAAAGAAGAAACGTTTAAAATATGAGAGAAACTAGTAAGTAGGTAGAAAGTAGATAAATTTCTCATTTCATATACACTAATATGATAAAATAGAAAAAATTAAATCTAAATTCATACATAAAATTACATAATTATAAGTAGAACAAAAGATGTGGAACCTCCAAATAGGTAGAGAAGAAGAAAATCTAAATAATAAAAAAGAAAAGAAAAAAAGAAAGAGCAAGGAAGAATGAAAAATGAAGCTACAAAAACGAGTGTAACAAGAGGAAAACCAAATGTATCAGTCACTGTAAATATCAGTGGATTAATTTAACTGACCTGGTAAGATGTAAACATAAAAGACAGGAGACATATTGTTTAAAATTAATTGAATTACAAAAATGTTTGAAAATATTTTGATGAATCAAATTACTGTCTTAAGGAGAAACAAAATATGTAAATATCTTTTTCTAGTACGTGAAAATGATCTGAATACTTTACTAGGAAAATAGATAAAGAATAAGAAGTGGAAATTTCCTAGAGTAGAAACGTAAATGATCAATAAGAATAGAATAACTTATTTAACCTTACTCATAATAAGTAAGTGAAATTTACTGTGGAAAAATAGGCTCTCTCCAACACTGCTGAGAATGGGTGAAGTTTCCGTGGAACAATTTGGGGCTAGACACAAAAAGCCTCATTGGGGGCTTCCTCTTTAATACAGCCTTTGGCCTCTAAGAATCTGTCTCAAGTAAAAGACAACAAGTAAGCAAAACTGTGTGCCTGAATGTTACTGTTATTTATACAACACTAATAATAGCACAGATGTTTAGCTATAGAGCCTGTCACATTCGATAGGTCCATCTGTCCAGTGGGTACTACCCACAAAAATACAGCTCTTAACATCAGAGTCATTCAAATTGTGCAGGTAAGTGCAAAAAATGTTAAAAGCCACCTAAATTGTATGATCCCTTTTTCTTTAGACAAGGTCTCCCTATGTAGTTCAGGTGGGCCTTGGATTCAGGGTGATCCTCCTGCCTCATTCTCTCAGGTGATGGGATTCCAGGCATGCACCCCCATGCCTGGCTGTATGATCCTTTTAAACTTATAAATACATATATGAGACATAGAGGAAATGACCTGTAAGGTTATGTATACATGCTACATATGCAGGATAGAACTCGGAGGCTTTCAAGTATATTTTTCTTGATTTACAATTTCTTGTTTTGTTATGAATAGGTATTACTTGGGTAAAAGCAAAAATACAATTACATTAAAAAGAGCTATTGTCTTTAACCTTAGATCTCATTTCATGATTATTGATTCTCTGATATTGAAAACTGTCTTGACTCCTTCTTGTTCCTCTTTTCTTCATCACTATCCAAATGAAAACCGTACTCTTTGGGCCTCATTGCTTAACAACGTCCTCCATTTTTGTTCCTCCTGATTTTTGTTCCTTACTCTTATGGGACCCAATTATCTCTCTTCTACATTTTTACAAAGCCTTCTTTCTGACCCCTTGATCTTTCTTATCTCTTCCTTTAACTCATTTGAGATGCTGCTGCTTTAACACTTCTCCAATATGTCAACTTAGTCAAATCACTTTTCATCTGGGCACTAGACAGTAAGATAGAGCCCTCACTCCTCAGCCTGGAGTACAGTGACGTCCTGGACCTCTGTCAGTTGCAGAGTGCTGCACAC